CTCTAAAGTTAATACAAGGACAAAAATACACAAGGAAGCCCAACAATATTCAAAGAAATTAATAAGTTCACACTTTTGGAGCATCGCCTGTAGGAACATTGGTATCAATATCATACTCCTTCACGAGGGACCCACTTTTATCGGCATCGAAGCTTGAGTGGACGCTGTACAGAACATACAAGAGCACCGTAAGTGCCGAAAAGATTCCGAACCTAACGTAAGACCGGCCATCGACCGAACCCAACAGGAATATGTTGAGGAATATGGAAACGCAAGGTGTCCACGGCATGAGTGGGACCCCCCAAGACTCCGGTTTTCGGGCCTGGCGGGCCGTGAAATGGAACAACTGTACAACGGCAATAGCCAAGGCCACGCTTGAGCCCAGCATGACGGCTTTGGGCTTGCCTGGCGGCCCGAATTTCCAGAGAAGGGTGAAAGCGATGCTGGTGAGGGTGAAGCATAGAAGGAAGGAGAGAGTGGGCAAAGGGTTTGTGGTCCCTCGGGCAACGTAGCGTCTGAAGATTACTGCATTGGCGACCATATAGAAGACGAAGAGGGTGCCGATAGAGACGAGGTTAAGTAGGATGTTTAGGTCGGTGAATAGTGCTATTACTGCAGTGCAAATTCCTGCAAATTAATCGTCATTTGCTTCATTATATTACTACTGTTATTGTTAATTAGTGAGCATTTGTTCTCCAATAATAAATAAATGAAGGTCAGATGGTAAAATAGGAGTTAGTCAGTTAGTTTCATTTCATTTGTGAATAATTAGTAATTTATGAAATAGTTATAATTAAAGTTGATATGACAGTCTGAAATATACAAATAGTTAGATATTAAATTCAATAAAAAAAAAAAGTACATAGTAATGATTTACGTTTATTGTTACTTGAAACCATAAATTCTTAAGTGATGCAATTTTAACGGTTACGTGAATTGATCCATCCTGCTACGCAAACAAAAATTCATGATTTGTACTATTANCCTACCAGTTATAAAAATATAGGGAACATTGCAAGTTCTGTACCGTAATCTCAATTTCAGGCCATAACTATTGAAACACTCACAATTTTCATCTATGGTTGTTGCTGAATTAACAAGAAAATAAATAAAATGTTTAACAAAATAAACTTTGTGAATTTTAACCTTAACTTAACCGCTGAATATGAAATTTGTTTAACAGCCCAGGCACTGAAATTGGAATAGCGAATATAAGGAACTGATATTAAAATTACATCTTAATTTGAGTACTGAATTAATCCTAATTTACCCAAAAATATATTGATGAAATGAATAGAAAAAATGTTTAAAAAAAAAAAGTATATATGCTAGTGTATTTCTCACTACCTCATTAAAATAGACCTTTTATCACCACCTATTGAAATAGACCTGTAATTTGTAGAAGATTTCACATACAATTTTAGAAAGTCAAGAGAACATAGAGACACCGAGTTGTTATTATCCAAGGATGATGATACCTAGAAAATAGCACTATCTCAAATTCTGAAGCTTTCTTCGAGCAAAGTTTTAATATTTTATCCATTAGCAAAATGCAGAGAGCAAGTAGTTTCGTGCACCCCACTACCAACAAGGAAAAAGCATGTCCCAGCACACAAATTGTAACGTAAATCCCCATATATGATGTAATAAAACTACTATTGTCCGCCATATAAATTAATCACATCACACTTTGGATCATCCATTTGTAAAAACTAATTAATATGTTGTTTAGTTATAAGAGAATTAAGGGCCATTAAAATTAAAATTGCAAAATGTTGTCTGCAACGCCTTGTCTTTCAAAATAATCAGGTCAAACCGCTACTGTTTGTAAATGATGCTTTATGACCATTTTGGGTGGTGATAATTAGTCTATCTTAAATTTCTTAATATAAAATGATTCGGCTATTAAAAAAATCAGTAAATATAATTTGACTCGACTTATGCAGTGTACACTTTTGGATTTTAGCATATTCTTTCCAACAAGTTTGCCATAACAAAATATAAAACGATAGCGACGGGCGTAGGATTAAATTCATAACTCGTAAAATTAGTCTTGAGTCGTCTCACCCGCCAGTTATCTTTTCATTATTAAAAATAATGAAGGCCTGAACCATAATTGAATGACAATTATTGGCTTTGAAAGATGACTATTAATTCGTTATTAAAAAAAAAAAACTGAATCAATGATTCTATAGACTATTGATCTATATATTCACAAAAATTCAACTTGTGTAGAGAAATCAATATCATGCTCTTGTTCTCTTGATATATACGTATTAAAACGATTTTAACTTTTCTTCTACGAATTTATTGACAGTATGGTTGGACCATCACTTTTAGTTCCCCCGCATTTATATTCGTTCTGACCCTTTTTACCAATATTATTATTTGTTTAGTTAAAAAAATAAATAAATTGATTTACTCTACTGATTTACTCTCTCTCCCCCACAAACAAAAACAGTGTCCAAAATCTGGTGGATGTGACTTAAAAAGAGTGGACCACTCACCAATCACCATAACCTCTTCTACAAAAACATATATACAAAAGAAATATTTAAAAAAAATTTAATTGGAGTAGAAAACAAAAGATATGGATAAACATAAATATAAATGGATAAATAGATAAGAGTTAAATTTGTGGTATTATTAGTGGTGTTTACAGTAGCTACACATACCAAGAAAGAGGGAAGCGTTGAGAGGCGTTGATGTGTAAGGGTGGACCCTCGCGAACCACTTGGGGACCACACCCGATCGCCCGATCACGCACATGTACCGCGCCTGCCCCAGCATGGCCACCAGTATCGACGTCAATATACCGAAACTAGCCCCGACCCCTATCACGTTTGACACCCACCCGTACGACCCGTCCCCTCTGAATGCCCCCGAGAACGGAGCCTCCGGGTCGATCTGTACCACAATATGTATATATTAGTACCAAATCAGAAATCGATTTTCGAAATCGGGGTATAACGCTCATTTTACTCACCATGTCGTAAGGGAGGAGGGCCGTCATGGAAGCCGCCATCAAGCAGTATAGGACAGTTACGAGCACGACGGATCCGGCCACGCCCACCGGAATATCCGTCAACGGATTCCTCACCTCTTCCGCCATGGTCGAGACGGCGTCGTACCCTATGTAGCTCAGGTACACCGTGGCCGCCCCGTTGAACACCCCCGATGCTCCGAATGGGAAGAACCCGCCCGCATTTCTCGGGTTACCGGGCTCCGTGAAATTCTTCGACTTCCCCCTCCAAAACCCCATCGCTATCACAAATATTATGAAAGACAGGTGCAAAATCGTCAGCGCCATGTTCACCCACGAGCTCTCCCTCGTTCTGCCAAACCAAATAAATTGAGAAAAAAATTTGATTATACTTGAATTGGTTAATTAATTAATTAATTAAGTAAAATGATAGTAATTATTTGCACCTGTAGCAGATTACGAGGGTGAGCAGCAGGATTAGGGCGACTGCGATTGGGTCCATCTGGTTGTAACCGTCGGGCAGGGTGCGGATCGAGATTCTCAAGCGGGTCGTGCCGGGGAGGCCGAGCGCGGTGCCGAGGTAGGCCGTGAAGCCCCTGGCCACGGCGGCGTTGGACAGGACGTATTCGGCGATCAGGTTGGCGCCGGCGAGGAATGCCGGGAACTCTCCGAGGGTGACGCGGATGTAGCTGAAAGCGCCGCCGGCGACGGGCATGTCCACGGCGAATTCGGTGTAGCAGAGGGCGGAGAGGAGGGCGCAGAAGCCGGCGATGGCGTAGGAGAGGACGACGGAGGGGCCAGCGAGGAGGCGGGCGGCGTGTCCGGTGGTGACGAAGACGCCGGCGCCGACCATGCCGCCGAGGCCGAGTCCGACGAGGTCGTACCAGCGGAGGGTGCGTTTGAGGGTGGAGCCGGAGCGGGACCTGGCGATCTCGTCGGAGGAGGTGGAGGCGGAGAAGGCGCGGAGGAGGAGGCGGTTGGGGGTGTCGGAGAGTGCCCGGAGATATGATCGGAGAGTGGAGAAGGAGGAGGCGTGTAGCACTTCGTTTGCGTTTCCCCTCGAAATATCTATTTCCATCTGTCTTTCCTTCTTTTATTTTTATTTTCTAATTTTCTCTCTCTCCCTCACTCTCTTTTTTATCGTTTTGTTACTTTTGTAATAGAATTGGAAGAATTTTTAAGGGATTGCTGAAAATAGTGAGGGCAGGCCGGTATATATATCTTTACTCTGATATAGCCGTATATAGATTATAGCACTCAATTATACAAATATTAATAGTATTTGATTGCGCTTTATTCTAATTGTTTTAAGTATTGACTTCTGAATTTAAAAGTAACGCTTTAAATAGATAATATAAAAATAACAACTAAAATTAAAATCATTTTTGCAATTTGACATTATCATAAACTACTTCCACAAGTCTTTGGGTAATCACAGTGAAACATGCGTAATCAAATTGCATAATGTTTTCAGTGTAAAATATAGTATGGAAGAAGATAAAATTGATAAAAAAAAATGTTACAAGTACATAACAAATGCACATAGAGGTGTACATAACACTCACATGGAGTAAGGTCCACTTGATTTTTTATTTTTATTTTTGGTAGAACCCACTTGATGTGATTGTTATGTACACCTCTATGTACAATATTATGTACTTATAGCATTTCTCAATTGATAATCGTTATTCATTTTGATAATGTTTGTGGAGCAAATGATATGTTTATTGATGGCCTAAATATTTATCAATTCTCACGCTAAATATTATTTGGTCTGAGTTCAGTTGACAGCCTATTTTAATCTAGTGTAATCTTGACTGTTCCCATTTAAGTGGTTTGATTTTGGTTGTTCGTTCCCCTCTTCAAAGTACTTGGTACAGCTTTAAGATTCTTATCTCTCTACACAGTCATCAGGATATTCAGCCTGTTCTCTCTTACACTCGTTCTCGATCTCTTTTTGACTTTGTGTCAAAATTGCCCAATCTTTTTATATCCTTCGAAATATTTGTGATAAGGGGATTATGAGTTTGGTGAGGGTCTTTCTTGTTTATTCAGCCGATCATTTGTGAGAGGTGTTTGGGGGTTTCGTGTACAGGTTGTTTTTGGGTCCAGCTTTGTGCGACGGCCGATGGTATTACCGTTGGGCTTGCAGTGCCAAAGTTATTGAGGCCACGAGAATAACGAAAGGAGACTGAGCCTGGTCATATTCGACTCATTCTTGTGCCATTCGTAGTGTTTGGGCCCTCATACGAGTACTCGCACAATAGTTTTGGCAAAATAAAAAATAGTTGATAAATGAATTTCATTTGGAATAAAATTTTGTGTATTTGATCGATTTGAAGAGATGAAATCCAATGGTGAATCACATAGAGCAACTAAAACAAATATATATGGTGATAGAATTAGGAAAAATGAATTTTATCTCTTCCCTCATAAGTAAAAGTTTTTATTTACTTATTTATTTTAAGCTTAGATAAGTTAAGAGTACTTTTATGGAAATGAATCAACCTAGTGTAGCTAAAATGAATGAATACTAGCCATCATTGGTCCATACATGTTGCTTTTCTCGTTTGATATTGGCGCAACAATTCAAAATTTCATATACAGTCAACAATTAGAGAAAAACATTTCAAATTATTTTATCTATACTTATGCCTATAAAAAAGTCATGCCTTTTGACTAGACGTTTCGTTGTAATAATCAGCGAATTACGCGTGACAAAATTGCTTTTTCGCCAAAGAAATCTTTATCAGATTTCTAATAAGATTTTATCATAGCTAGACTCGGGAAATAAAGCAATATATTGCGGGAGAAGGAACTCTCGATCCCCTTCTTCAACTTCAACCAAGCTGAGAGATTAAGCATATCTAAGATAACACTGCCACTGCATTAGTGCTGGTTTGAACTTTTAAGAGTCAAATAAGCATTTATTATGTGTTGGATGCATAAGCATTATATTTTATTTTAAGCTTAAGTAACAGTTTTTTTTAATAATTCGTGAAATATAGCTAGTAAAAGTTTTTAGCTTCATATATTATACTTTGATATGTGAATCCATACATTGTATTTTAAATTACTAAATTATATAATAGATCTCAAATTATAAGTTCAACAAGCATAAAAAAAGTAATGATATAACGTCATAAACTAGTTGAATCACACAACTATTTCTAATATTTTACTACGAGCATATATATAATATACCCATATATAATACATTTAGTATGTTTGTAGATAACAATGGACATTGTCATAGTGGTGACATATCACCAACCACAACCTAAGCAAATATTTTTGTACATAATTATAAATATTAAGTAAATGAACATACCTAGAGATGCAATGCTTGGGATAATTCATCATTACCTTGAGATAAATTTAGTGCCTCATCGAACTACAGAGAAAGATAATTGGGTATCAAGTTTGGGAGAATGTCATTGTAAGGCTTCAATTTTATTATATCCATCAAAATAGGGACCAATTTTTCAAAATTTTTCACCTGGAGGCTTGACTTGTACAAATCATTTTTTTCTATAGTTTGTCATATAAGGCCCCACATCGAATGTGTTAAGCATGACGTTTAATTACTAAAAAAAGAGGGGTTTTCATTTAAAAACTCCTCGGGCGAAGCCATCTTCTTCTATCTCCGGTGCCAGGGAAGGTTCGAAGTCAATGGAAGTGACCGTGCGTCGCAACGCGGCAAAATTATAATTTATATTTTCCTCGACTAATCTCTACTAACTAGTAGTAGTGGCGAGCAAGGGTCGATCCCACGAGGAGTGTGAATCAAATCGTGAATTTCTTGTATTAATTGAAACTATAAAAAGCGATAAATGGGGGGGGGGGGGGGGGGGGGTTTTGGATTTAATAGCTAAACTAACTAAAATAAATAAAATCTAAACAAATAAAAATAAAAATAAATAAACTAAGAGAAAGCTTCTAGTTCACGGTTCCGTCTACACCCTCAACCGACTCGTCTAATCAACTTTGGAATCAAATCTCCTTATCTTATGAAATTACTAGCCCTAGGCAACGACACGGTCTGTTACCCGAATTTTTCTTTAATTTTAATTTAACCGCGAAACGCTCTACGATTAAACCTGACTTCTTGTACAATCCAGAAAAACGTTTTCAAGATTTAATACAATTAGCCGCTTTACGAATTAGAAAAATAGGCTAGACTAAGTAGTGAACTCAACCGCGTTCGTTCACTTAAATAGGCCGTGTTATCCCCGGTAGTTACCATCTTCCGGTTACCTCTTATGAATTAAACACAACAACAATTACGGATTGCAGGTCTAACTCAGATGTAGATATGAAAAGTCTAATCTAGGTGATCAATCTAAACAAGACTAAACACATCATGGTAAATTATTCAAAATAACACAAGCAATTCCAAAAAAATAACTCAATAATCAACCACGAAAATTAATCAAATATCGTCAAGTCGTAGGGTTCAACTTCCCCGGAACTAGAAATAAAATTTACTCTAACATACTAAATAAAAAGAAAAAGATAAAAGAGAGAGATTAATTATCTCCCTCGTGTGTGGGTGCGGCCTCCCTCCGCAATTTGTCGGGCTCCTCTCGTTTTTTTCTCTGTCTGTATCTCTTTTCTCTGTTTCTGTGTGGCGGCTCTTTTATGTTCTCTGCGTGAATGATAGATGCTATATATATTTCTCCTACTCCCAGGCTTGCGTAAGTAATTGCCGTGGTGGATGTAGGATTCTTTTTTTTTTATTTTCTCCTCAAGTCTTCCTTAATATTTCAATTAATTCCAAAACTTCTCCAATTAAATCTCCTTTGATGGCTGCATCAATGTGTCCAAGCTTGCTCTCCAATTAATTGTCATTGGGCCCACCAAATATTAGCACTTTAACAATTGGGCCAATAAACACAATTAGCACACATGGACCTAAATTGGGCTGGTATGGGGCACTGCTAGGTCAGTACGGGGAACCCCCGTACTGTCTGCTTCAACCTTCCTTCGACGTCTCGTCGTCCATAAAAACACTCCAATATCCTAAAAATAAACCATAAAAATATTAAAGCACCGAATCCATCTAATAAATAAATAAGTCGAAAAATAATAAGTGCGATAAAATTAAGCATATAAAAATACGCTAATAAATATATAGAGTACACACTTTTTCCGACCAATCTGGAAGCTATCGATGGAAGTGACTCCGTATAATAAGGAAGTGGACCGGGCGCGACTAATATCATTTCAGTGCCAAGCGGAACCAAGGCCAGGAGTTGGATAAAATTTCATGTGATTTAGTAAACAGAATCGAAATTCCATCAGTGCTAAATTGTCGATCTAATTCGATCAAGAATGTACTTTCTATTATATATAGAATGGGAACGGCAGTTTCACTTCGCTTCGAAAAGTTTGTTGGGTTGGTTCATGTAGGCTCCACGAGTGATACATGTTCCTTCTACTTCTCCAAGCAAAGCTCTTCGGATTGCGCCTGTTTGAACAGCCTCAGTCAATCCTGTCTCTCTTTGATAAGAATCAACCTTATCTTTATAAGATCGATCAAAATCATCAGAAGAATCATCAATATCAGAAGGATCATCAATATCAGAAGGATCATCATCAGAAGAAAATCTTTATTGGTTCTACCTCCTATTTTTGACTTTTATGAAGAGAATGAATCTTTTTCTCGAAGGATCAGAACAAAACGGGTCCGGATCTCCTGCGGGAATGATTTGGAAGATCCAAAACAGCCCGGCGGGACCGAGAGTAGTACAGCAGATTCAAAGGGCGAATAGGCTCATTTCTATTTCTCGCGCGAAGGAATGCCTTTGGAGCGGCAAGACCAAAGCAGCTCCTTAATAGCTTGCTCTCGCCCAACCTCACTTACACTAACAAATGTGAGAACCCTCATACTGGGCGTGAGGATTGAGGACTATGACAAGCTTGAAGAGAAGGCATGAGATTCTCGACCCAAGATATTGATCTTTGGTGAGAGCTTATATCCCCAGGAGTGGGATTATGCGAGGTCTAAGACGATAATGAATAAGTACGGTACGGTGTTGTTATGTGACATGGATCAGATTAACGGTCTTGTAGCTTCAAGTGAGTGCGTGAGCCCTTTCAAATATTGCGACAATGTTACGTCCACAACTCATAGAAATCTTTAGGATCCATGGAGAGGAATTGTTTTCTACAAGAGAATCTACGAGACACCTGTAATCAATTTTCTAACTTTATCCTTGAGGACAAGGATATACTCGAAGAGGGCAGGAATGATGTGAATCAGAGATGCACCCGCCGTAGCAGGTCGTCACGCCCCAGGCCATCGCGCCGAGCGACCGCACGAGCAGCATCGTGTCGCGCAGACCAGAGAAGTTCTAGGCGTCGCGCCGCGACAGCTGACCAAACCACTAAAGCAGCTTATTGCAGGAGCATCACGCCGCGACAAACCATCACGAGACAACAGAGGCTGGAGAAAGTCCGGGCGTCAAGCCGCAACAGTAACTCGTCTTTGCACCGCGACACCTCCGTGATGGGCAGCAAGTACGAACGGTTTCAACAGTTCAATGTCAGTTTCTTTTTCAAATTATTATGATCTGGTGGTATGATTTGCATTTTGGTTTTTCGTTTTAAAAACTCATGTATCCTTCATTTTTATTTATTAGACAATAAGATATAAAAAAATGCCCGTTTCTGAGCACAATTTCTTGTGTCACCCGACGACTGTCTAGTGCGGATTTTCACAAATCCAAGTAGTCGATACACGAACTTCATCCGCGTTACCAAACTAGTGTGTGCATATAATTGCATTTGAATTTGTATAAAAAGTTTTAAAAGTTTAATACTATATCATATTTGTGAAGTCTACTAATTTAACCCGGTCATGCCCTTGGCGCAAAACTCGAGCCCCTAGCTCGCTTATCATCAAGATCTGATTCCATCGAAAGGCCCAATTGAAAGAGGAAGGTCTAAACCCCCAAAAGCTCTTGCACAATTCAATCTGTCGAATGGCTATGAGATCTGGGATTTCCGTCCGCAGAGCAGTGTGTGGTTTAATGGAGGGCAACAGGCCATCCTCCCTTCGCTATTTCAGCGATGACAAAGGTCGTGTGCTCAGTGAAGAAGAGCGAGCTAAAGAAACTGTTTATATCCAGGTAATTGTTATTTGTTAATATTATGTATGCTTTTTCATGTCTACTGTATAATAATATTTTTAATTGATTCTGTTCTGGTCTGGGCTGAAGAAAATGGAGAGGGAAAGGATGGAGAAGCTGAAGAAGAAGGCCGAGCAAGAGAAAGCTGAAAAAGAAAAATCGGACAAGGTAACACAACCTTTTTTTTTCTTTNACAAAAATAACACTAACAACTCCCCCACACTTAATTCTTTGTTCGTCCCGAACAAAGATAAAAACTTAAACAAAACAATTCAAACAATTTTTTTTTTTTTTTTAATTTTTTTTTTATTTTATTTTTTTTATTTTCATAGCGAATAAAAGCTTTGATTTCAGTTTTGTCGTGGGCGCTTCTGGTTCTAGTCCAAGCAATAGAGTCGGCTAATAAGTTATTTGAATTTACCAGAGCTTAGACATTTAGCTGGGTTTTTACTTAATTGGTACTTAGATTTGAGTATTGATGTAGTTTGGGATTCATAAGTATTGAAGTTGATGGCTTGCTAGTCATTTATCTATTTTAATTTTTAGAATATTTTGGTTATGTTTCAGCACCATTTTTTTTTTTCTTAATTTTTGAATATGATACATTTTGTGTCTTTTCATTACAATAACAACTCTTCGTATATTGTTTGTTCAACAGAAGGCCGAAGGAGATGCTCACAAGAACTGAGTGGCTTCTCTGCTGTGTGATGACGTTCAGACTTGTGTTTCTAGCCTGTCAAACAAAATAAATGTAACTCACTGTGAACTCTTGTTATGTGTTTGCTCTTTGTATAAAGGTGTGGTTCAAGAGTTGTGCTATAGGGTTACTTTCGTTCAAGATCTTGACCATGATAAAACTGCCCTGTTTTTAAGCTTTGATCCCAAGTGTTTCTCCTTTTATTTGAGATGGCTCATTGAGTTTGGTTTGACTTGGCAATTGGATTTAATATCTTGGGGTTCTGAAGTTTTAGTGTTGTGGTTGCATTAGAGGTACTAGTTTATATTTCATGTGGTTAGAATGTTTATTGTTTGATATTTTATGCAACAGAAAAGTAATTTTTAGTATCATACAATAGTTTCTTCAGTTTGGCATCAAATAGAGGACACATCAAAAAAATCTATCAGCAACAGCAATACTCCTTATGTCTTTAAAATAAAAGGTGCCAACTACCATAAGGCTGGAAGGTTATTACTTGTACTTGTTCCCGCTACTGCACCTAAGTTTTCTCAGTTGTACATATATGACACTAAAAACGAAGTAGACACCATAAAATGTAAATAATAGTAGTTTCATTTTAATGATAGTTAATGTGAATGTATTCAATTTTCAGCTCCAAGTCGAGAAATAGTAAAAGTAATCTAGATGTAGGAGTTATCAATGATATAATGAGGATGCTTGATCAAAATAATCCATTGATCATGTTGTTCAAAATGGATCATTTTCAATCAAGTTTTATAAACAATCCGAAACTCAAAGGAAAGGTCTGTTAAATTAAACAAACCTACTTCGGCTCGTCAAGGCTCGAGTTTGGCTTGAGCTAGAGGCCTTAACGAGCCGAGCTTGAGCTCATTTAAAGTTTGTTTGGTTAACGAGCTCGCTAAAGCTGAAAAAGAAAATTTTTAAATAATTTTTTATAGTTCGACTCGTTAAAACTCGAGAAAGGCTCGAGCTCAAATCCTTAACAAGCTAAGCTCGAGCCTGATTTTTGGCCCATTAATTAGCTCAGCTCGGCGCATTAAGGGGTCGTGCTCGAGCTCGCTTCCACTCGTTTACGGGCCTAGACAGAACTTGCAATCTTCCTAGGCAGATCTTACAATCTTTCTACTGGCCATGAAGTTGTAGCTCGATGCATTTGTTAAGAGAGATATTACTACATAAAACCAACCAATTTAGACCAAAGTAGATATATAGAATCACTTATTCAC